TTATATAATTTGCTAGAAGATATATATATATATATATATATATGTATATAATAAAACTGGAGTTTATATTAAGCAAGATAAGTCAAACTCAGAAAAACAAATATATCTATTTTCTTTAGTTTGTAGATTCTAGATTTTATTCAAACATAAGTTACATAAACACACACACACACACACACACACACACACACACACACACACACACCTTAAAAGCAGAAGGAAAACTGAGGGGGAAGGGAGCCTAACAGGAGGAATAAGCCAGAGAAAAGGTAGTGCCTGGGGGTGCATATGGTCATCACACATGATATACTTAACTGGAAATATCTTCATGAAACTCATAACTATTTCTTTGAATATGCATCAGTAAAAACAACTACTAAATAGTTCCAAATAGATACTTCTCAAAGAAGTCATACAAAATGGCTGAGTATCTGTCTGTTTGTCTGTCCATCACCTCTCTAATTATTAAAGAAATGCAAGTTACTAGACATTTCATTATGTAATAAGTTATTATAATGTACTCCATGATGGTGTATAAATACCATGTCCCCCTCCCCCCCTTTTTAAGTGAAATAATGATTTATCTTATGGATTTCATACTACTTCATGACTCTACTTGGATTTGGCTTGCTGTTTCCTCTGATTATCTTTCAATATACCCTTCCATCTTCTGTATTTAAGATAAGCCACTAATGTCAGAGAGCAGAAAATGATCCCCATTGATCTCATAGAAGCAGTGTAAAGAGAATTTTCTGTTGTACTTGTAAAGTCTCTATTGGTATAAACAGTTTATTGAACATCAGGTAATCACCAGAGCTAATCTTTGCTATGTGTTAAACCATTCACATGATACAGGAAAGGCACTAGGTTTCTCAGAAGATTAAAGAGGGGAACAAAGCCCAGGTTTTGCCATCTATTTCGGGAGGAGATTATGAACAGGTCAGAAGCAACATGTCTTAAGGATAGTGAGTAAAGACTGCTAAAGGGTATGGTTGAGTGTAACTGTTTTCCAAGAGAGGAGAGTTCTAGAGGAAACTCTAGACATTTCAGGAAACAGTCAAGACTATTATCAAGAAGGTAAGTGAGACTTGATTTGGTTGCCATGGGCCATGCAGATACCATGATACCGGGGTCAAAAAATCTTTCTTTTAGGGCATGCAATACATGCATATGAAGTTCAAAAAGGCTATAGTAGACAAAAGACTAAAGACACCTGACATGATATGAAAAACTAGTGAGAGCCAGTGCACCACTAAGGAAGAGGTAGTTACAAGAGTTTGCATTCTATGCTGTACTCCAATTATATCAGGACATTGTCTATTCCCAATCAAAGTAGGAGCACCACAACCTGTTGCCTTTGGCCATGTTGTCCTTTTAATCCAAATGACCTGTTGTCTAATAGTTACTATAATCTTTCCATTATTCACAACCTGGCCAATGTGACAACCTTCTCTAGTAAGAGAAGCCAGAATTGAGCCCTCCTTCCTACATGCTCAGCTTATTCAATTTTTGTTTGTCATGAAAAACTCATGTTCTTTTCATGTCACCAACTTTCTAATGGGTCCTTCTTATTGTGTTTTAATGCATTTCATACAGTACATGATTTAGTCCATTTTCTGTTCCTAAAACTGACTACCACAGTCTGGCCATTTATAGAGGTTTGCTTAGTTCAATGTTCTAGAGGCTGCACAGTTCAAAGCATGCCTAGTATCTGGTGGGAGCCTTCTTAGAACATGACAGAAGTCAACAGATGATGTGGAAAATTATACTAGCACAGTCCTTTACCTGGTTCCTTTAAAAGAATAAAGCAACTAGTGCCACCAAGGGCCACAAAAATATTAGTCTTAATTATCAATGCCACTAACATTTAAATTTGGAGATGAAGTCTTCAACATAGGAACTTTTGGGGGACACATTCAAATAGCAACAGTATCTGATCATATTTATGAGCAGAAGTAGAATTTTTCTTTATAAAGACTTGAAGAATTAGAAGAGAATGGTATGAGAATCCTTCATGGGACCAGACATAGCAGTATGCATATAAAAGCCCTGTATCTGGGAGTTGCGGCAGGGTAATCATAAGTTCAAGACCAGACCAAGCCCCTAACTTTACCATAAGAGCTGGGACATAGCTTAGTGGTAGAGTACTTGCATAGCATTGTGAATCTCATATGAAGGGGGCTGAGAAAAGAAAAAAAATGCTGGATGGAAGTATTGATAGTGTATCTGACAGTTTTCTTCTGGTTGGCTTCAATGTGGTTGAAGTTCCTATTCAGAACTAGACTAGATGACCAAGAGATGTGTAGAAGAAGCCAGTGAAGGTTCTGTAAGCATGGGGTACCATGGATTTGGAATCTAGGATATTTTTCTATACTAGGTTTTTGTAGTTAGGATAGAGAAAGCAGTCAGTTGTTGATGGCTACAAGGAGCTTCCCTGCAATCTCTAACAAGTACTCAATATGAGAAGGGGAGACATTGTAGAAAGATGTCTCAGGTAGCACTCAGACCCAGGAAGGGTGGGGCACTACCTGAGGACCTGCCCTAACTACCTGTCAGATCTGGACCTCAACTTGGCTGCTGAGAGAAGCACAGGATGATGCTATAAAAAGCAGCATACACGGGCCCCATCACAGAGGGCTGTGATAACTGGTCTGGGTGAAGCCTAGAGCATCTGCATTTTTAAAAAGTGCTCCAGTTTGAGAACCTCTACAGTAAGGAGACAGCCTGGGAAGGCAAAGAGCTTAAGTTATTGGAGGTTCTACTGAAGATTTTGTATAGGGTGGAATAAAAATTGCTATTTATGATCTTGGGCCAAAAAAAAAAAAGTCCTCAGGAAAAAGAAGGGTCTGAGTTAACATAAAAGGTAGGATCTATGGTTTAGGATCCAAATGTGATCTCAGCTAATTTCCAGTGAGCAGGCGTCACCATTCCCAGACAGTCAAACTTGGCACTGCGGTAGGCAGAACAGAAAAGGAAAAGTCACCAAGCTTTCACCTAAAAAGAAAGCTGCCTTCCCCAGAACAGGTTGTGTGTGTTGGATGGGGGTCTCTCTAAGACCCATTGAGACCAGGGACAAGTGCCAAGAAGACACACAGGGTGCTTAGGAAGTCTCACTGTGGGCCACGTCCAAGTATAGCCATCCCCATCTCCAGAGGCGACCATGGGAGGGCTGGAGGCAGCTGTGGGATTTCAGTTGTAAAAGTTGGTCACAGCCCTAGTTTTCTTAGTAGCCATTTATGGCTCTTTTTCATAAATCTGGGTAAAATGTTTCTGAATTCCTTTATGCTTCCTGCCAGTACCACCTTTTGAAACTAATGAGTTCCGCAAGTTCATAACCTGCTGTATGAAGTCGATTTCCTTTCGTTTGCCCTGAACTTACTTCACTCGGTGGTTTTAACGCATACCCGCCTTGCCCTTAAGAAGAAAAAGTAAACAGGATTATGAGAGGAGGGCAGAAAAAGAGCCAGGTGTCACGAGAGACTGCAGTCTACCTTAAATCCACAGCCTAGTTAAAGAGGCTGGAATGCGAGGCCAGGAGGGAGCAGTGTTCCTCAGGACAATGGTTCTCTTCTTCTCCTGCCCAGACCCTCCTAGGGGTCCTGTTTCCTGTTTGGGGTTCTACTACTTGAATGAAGGGAGAGTTTAAATGTTTAGCAGATATCAAGAAAAACAGTGAAATACCAAAAGCAGAACCCACAGGAAAAATAAGACAAACTTGGATTTTTTTTTCCTTTACAATTAGATGCCTGTTTCACATGAGACTACCTAGGACTCGATGTCTAAAAAGGAAGACAGAACTGTCCAATGCTGACGATTATTAGCAAGACCAAAGACAGAAAATGAGGTCTTTTATTTTCATTAAATTTCTATTTCTGAAATAATTTGGGGTTTATCTGGCCTTTGAACATACCTCCCTGGACTATAAGTGAGGCCAAATGAGTCATTTGCCCAGAAGCATGTCATCATTTTGGTCTGGGTAAAAGGATGAAACATGAAATAAACACCTTAAAAAAAGAAGGGGGCTGGGTATCATAATGTTAATGTGTGTCATATTTTAAAACTGTAAAGTAACATCTTTTAAAACGTTGACTTTGTGGGCTGCAGGGAGGCACTGAAGTATCAGTTGCACACACCACCCCCCCAGTCACAGTATAAGGTTTGTTATAGCAAAGTCTTGCATTTTAACGGCAAATAGGGCAAAGGTTATGTGTGGCAGGAATCTAGCCTTGCAGAACGTGCAGGACACAGGTTGGGCTATAAAACTGCTCATTAAAATGCTCTGCTCTGAAGCAGAAGTAAATACATGAGCTCAGGGAAGAGAGCCACAGAAACTGTCTAGAAATATTTCCATGAAAGACTGTGAAAACAGTCCTCCCCAGTCATGAGAAATGCACAGTTGCTGCTTATACAAATAGTTTCACTTAAAAGACTTTTAAGTATCTTCCCTGCGATGCTGGCTTTGACCGTCTGCCAAGAGCTACTTAATGCTGTTCTTTTTTTTTTTTTTCCTTTTAATTTTTCTGCATAGTCTGTACGATGCACAGAAAGTAGGATGGCTCATACGCTCGAAGTTTCTGAAACAGCAGCGTGAGAAGGAGTTTAGTTACTAAGCCGCCATCCCAAACGCGGCTTTAAAGCTCCGGAGTTCTGGACTGGTTTCGAATGTCAACCCAAATAATAGAAACAGGGGTGGGGGGTGGGGGGAATGGGGAAAGGCATTTAACAATTGGTAGGGCGATGATTGTGCACACTTTGATATCTTACTGAACAGAAAGTGTAGACGGAGGAATTCAAAGCTAATAATAGTAATGGCTCGCTGGCGAAATAATGAGCGGCAAGAGGACTTCTAAGAAGGCAGCTCGCCCCTGAGCGATTCAGACAGACTTGCTTACACAACGGCTGGCTGGCTGCTCTGTGAGGCCGCAAGCCAAAACCAACATCAACACCCAGCAGCGCCAGTCGCTCAGAGGGGGCCGTGTAGCCCGATGCTGATGAGGTGCATTGTGGGAATGAGTGAGGAGTCAAGACCCCCATCTCACTTTTAATGTGAATCTTGTGATGCCCCAGACCCTGTCTGAGCCACCAGAGGGGCACCCTGCTGGACTCTGCCTGGGCCCTGTGATTAATGGGAGTGACAGGAGGCCAGGCTCTTCTAGAAAACAGGCTGGAGGTGAAAACAAGTAGACAGTGAATCATTAGCTGGGAATACACCCCCCACTGCTCTATCTGGAGTCTCTCACCATTTCCGTGGTATGTGTTGGGTTGGGATGAGGGACCCAAGGAGGACATGAGTGTGGAAATTATTTTTTTTCTTTCATTTCAAGAAAGAGTTACAGATGGTTCGATGCCGTTGTTCTTGCTCTAAAACTTGTGTTATCTTACACAGGCAGTCTGGAGTTGTTTGTGAGAAGCCGTGAATCAAAGCAAGAGATTCCCAGCTAAAAGCTAGGCTGGATGGCGGGCGCGGACTGCCTTGGCCAGGTGTGGTGTTGCTGGTTGTTGCTGCTTTCTCTCTCTCTCTCTCTCTCTCTCTCTCTCTCTCTCTCTCTCTCTCTCTCTCTCTGTCTGACTGAGAATCACGAGGATATCTGATCTGGCTAGAATGAAAACACAGAGCTGTATTACATGGCTAAACCCAATCTCACATCCTGTGAGGTAGCTTGGACACCACTGAACACATCTTGGCTGTGAAACTCATCCTTTCAGAGTTTGCTACAAAAAGCATTTCCTCCTTTACCCAGCTGTGAACAAACAAAACAAAACAAAACAAAAGCCATGATTCTCCTTTTCTCTCACTCCTAATACATTTCTCTCAGGAATCACGATTTCTTTTACTTTGATAGATTTTTAAAAATACCTTTCTAAAGTGGCAGTTCACGTTTTTACCTCTTCCCATTTCTACTAGCCATTTACTCTGTGACCGGTACATGGATCCTCTTAGTATTGCACGTGCGGCAGTGTGGCGTGCAAGCTCAATGGAGTGTATTTGCACGCGGAACTCAGTCCGTGGATGGAAGTGTTAAAAGTGCTGGCTCCAGACAGGGTGGTCAAGTGGCACAGCAAGGAGGTGGGAGATGATCAGGCACCGGCCCCAGGGGGTGGCCCTGTGGGACTCTGGGCAGCAAATAACTACCATGGAAAAGGAAGGAGTTCAAGAATTTGCAGCCGGCATAGCTGCTCATATGAGCCACTGGTTGATATGAGTCTGGCTCAAGCACTGTCCCCTTTCCACTCCTGAGGGTCCCTCTTGCTCTCTGTGATTGGTGTAAACACAGAAATGAATCGCCTCTGCTAGGACTCTCTCAATGTGGTATTTATGTAGTTTTCTGATGCAAGTAGAACTCTACCCATGTTCTCCCTTTAGCAGGAAGAACAAGTTAGGATGCACTGATAGGCTAAGGGGTGGGGAAAGGCCCTCTCTTAGGGGCCCTGCTGTTGCTGGTGTGCAGTTTTAAGTACTGAAGGGTGTTGGTCTGACAGATAGGTGGGGAAACAGACCTATGTCACATGTCAAGATAACTTTAGTTATCCCAATTTGTATGAGACCTTTTCCAAGATATCTCTCTCTCTCTCTCTCTCTCTCTCTCTCTCTCTCTCTCTCTCTCTCTCTCACACGCACGCGCGCACACACACACACACACACACACACACACACACACACACGTTAGCGAGATTTAAAAGCCCCTCATTTTCTATTCCTGAATCCCTGGAAAGGAAACTGTTATTCATGTGCCAAGGAACACAGTAATTCATTATTATTATTTCTTTCTTTCTCCCTGTGTACCCTCCCAATAGGATTAAAAGCAGTCCGGGATGTGGGCAGAAAGCTGAGGGATGAGGGGGAGCCAGAAAAGAGTGGCCTTTTCATAGCCTCCACCACACTCATTCAACACAGTTGGAACCTGGTGCTTCAATAGACTCAACTGCTTCCTTCCTCTTAAGCCTTGACTTGGCTGTCTACTGAAGCTATGCGCTGAGGTCTTTGGGCAGATCTGGAAGAGGCAGTAAGTCAACAACTGGCCTTTCTGAGAGGGATGAAGGAGAGGCCAAAGGAAAGTGTGGTAGCTTTGATTTGTAAACAAGCAAGCAAACAAACAAACAAGGTCCTGGAGTAACTGTCTTATGAATGGTCTCCAGAATCAACCCAGAGTTTCTGTGCATCTTTTCACACATGAACATCTTTCAGAACTCCACCACCAGGGTCAAGCTCAGGAAACTGACATCCTGGCCGTCCTGTTCTCAGGATCTGGTTCTGGATGCATAACCAAACATTAGCTGTGTGTGTTTAATATGTAGCTATTTCTCAGTGTCTTTTCACCACAATCACACTTGGGAAGATGAGTGATCATTTGCTTTGTTCGGTGCCCCTTGGTTGGAATTTAGTTTCCTTGGTACTAATTTCAAATTGTATAATTGTTTTTTTTTTGTTGTTGTTGTTGTTGAGAAAAATCACACAGATGATGTGTCCTTCTCAGTGCTGTGTCAGGAGACATGTGGTGTCCATCTGTCCTACCACTACCAGGAACTTTGGTGATTTGGTTACAATGGTGCTTTCTGAGGTTTCTCCACTATAAAGTTTCTATTTTGACCCTCTTTGATTTATAAGTATCTTACAGGTCATGTTTTGAGAGAGTGAATATCCCATTTCTTATTTGACTTTTGCCTACTCATTTTAACATTCCAGTTATTACTGGTACTTTGCAAATGGCGATTCTTAAATTTCTTCTTATGAATTGGATTATCTTTGGTGACTAGGAGTTTTCCCTTCTCCTATTTAATTTTCAGCTGTTTATTTATGTGGATACTAATGCTTATAGCTGCTGGCTCATAATCCACAGTGGTGGCCACCCTGCTAGTGAAGTCATCCCATATCTAGTCACTAGGAACCTCCTTCACGTTTGTCTCCCGTATCCTTTGCCATGTTCCGCTATAAATGTTTGAGCACTTCCTTATTTTCTAGTACTGTGAGATAGTCCAGGCCCGTCTTGTCCTCCTCAGCTCTATCCCTGGAATGTCTCCAAGGACTGCTGGCTTCTTTTATTAGAGACTAAGATAAAATAACCTTATCTTTTCCTGTGAGTCATAGTGAGTACATAGTCCTCCCAGTGGAAAACAAAAAGATACTAGTATATGCACAGATGTACAGGGAGGAATAAGGACCTTGAACTTGCAGTGTTTTTAGGTAAACATTTTTACAACCATTCAGTACCAATCTGGGCATGATGGCAAACATCTGTAACCCAAGCCTCAGGAGGTAGAATCAGGGTGATAGCTGCCAGAGTGCCAGGCTGCTCTACGTAGCAAGAGCAAGATGCTCAAACACAAAAACAAAACAAGAAATAACTCAGGAAGCATTCAGGAAGGAGCGGGTGGAAGGCATTAAGGAGTCCAGTGATGGGGAGAAGGACTATGAAAGACCATCTTCTGTGTCTAATGCAGCCAGTACAATCATGAACTCACAGCAGCTAGTTAGTTGCATGTCCTGGACCTACACATGATAGAGCTGGTCAGCCATGGATTGGGAGGGTATTCGGCAGGATGAGGGAGGCTCATGGGAAATTATTGGCTATTTATGGATGCTGCAAGAGGGTGAGTCATTGTCTTTAGTTTGTGTACCCACTATTAAGCTCACCATGCTCCAATGAACAGTTCCATGCCCATGATCACACAGAGAACTCTGGTTAAACTCCATGGGTCACAAGACAAACCTAAGGGACATGAAGGTGGGAAAAGGACTTCTAGGGAGGAAGCAGGGAGTTGACAGGGGTAGGCGGGGAGAAGAGAGGGCAGGGTGTTCTCATATAATGTGTTGTTACCCATGTGTTCCTAGAGTCTTACCATTCACAGACATAATCTGTTCTAGAAAAACTGCCATGTTCCCATTGTCTTCTGGTGGTTTAAATAATAAGTATTCTACCCAGAATCACATGATGGGAAAACTATTAAGAATGAATTCTCAAGGATGTTTTCTTTCCATTCAAACTCAGGCTGAGAAAAATAGCTTTCCTCATTCTCTTTATCAGCAAGTGGATTTTAAAATAATTACTTAAATAATTAAATATTAAAAATACACTAGAGCTTCCCTTCCTATCCTTTATGTCTCATATACATTTCCTATATATTTGTCTATATTTTATATTGCACTTGAGTAGATAGTACTCGAGTATCATCCATCCATCCATCCATCCACCCATCCATCCATCCACCTATCCACCTACCTACCTGTCACATTCTCACTCTCATGTGAGCTCTCTCATTCACACACTCTCTCATGTGTTCTCTCTCTCTCTCACTCACGCATGGAAGATTTTGTTTATCCCACCTCAAAAGAACTATGTTGACTGACAGTTCATTGGTAACTTTAAGTCACTCATAGTGGTATTGCTGATACTGTAAAGCTTGTATAACAGTTCCTCCTGAAGAGAGTTACTGAACATCTATCAGTACACCATTCTATATAACCTATTTCATTTAGAGTCTCTTCAGCTTTTCCACTTATTCAGTTTTAATTTTGATTGCCTTTCTATTTCTAAAAGGTCCACCTGACTGTTCATAAATTATGTCTTTAAAGTACAGTGCTTCTTATATTTGTGATGGGCAAATTACACCTTTCAATATTCAAGCCAAGTTCAAAGTTTCTCTAGTATTTGTTGTCCTCTGGACTTCCCGGTGATGTCTTTTTCAATGTTGGGTTGTGTTTCTGCTCAGTTGTGTGGTAGTGGAGTTAGAGCTCTTTGTCTGACTTGAGGGTGTGCTTTACCAGGGAGTATTTATGCTTCTCCAGTTCCCAGACCCCTTCTAATGTGTGTCCATTTCAAGGCCCTTTCTCAGCTTGGGATCGACTGTGCAAATGGTACAAATCTGAATCCTGAATTGTGTGATGGGAAAACTATAAAAAATGAATTCTTGAGGATGTTTTCTTTCCATTTAAACTCAGACTGAGAAAAATGGCTTTCCTCATTCTCTTTATTGGCAAGTGGATGTTTGCTGATCCATCATTTCCAATGAAGGAGCTGCTCTGTGAAGGCCCTGACTTACAATTTGTCAGCTCCTTCTGTTTGGTGCCTTTTCTGCTCTCACTCTCTAACTATAGGACCCCAAAGCTCTTGGGTATAGAGGTCACAAATGCCCCAGTGTCAGCCATGTCTTCAATGTTGGTTTAACCTTTTGCTTTCTAGATGCTCCATGATTTCTTCACTGGCGTATTTCTCATCTTCTTGAGAGAGAAATTTTCAAGCACAATTCTCACTTTGTCCTTAGCATTTCTATTTGTTCTGAAGTCACAAAAGCTATTCTTCAAACAAAACATTTGCCATACATCAAAGTCCACATGTCTTTGTGAATGAACTATAGTTTAGAATAATGACTCCAGTTGATTCTTATTCTTCAGATATTGTAAATAAAAAAATCCCAGTAACACAAATACACACACACATGAATCTATGTCCTGAGTACTATATTATAGCCAAAACATTATACTA